TTAAGCTTTATTTGTATTTAATATTTTAATAATTTCACAACAGTACCTATTCTAAACAAAATGATCTTACATTTTGACAAAACTGTCAATTTCTGTTTTATATTATCGCTTAAATAACAACAGATTATCGTAATACAATTTATAAACATGAGTAGACTATTTTTAAAATTTAAGTGTATTTCCTCCAGGGGCCGCGTCTCATATACTAAACTGCAGGCCATTTTTTATTATATATATAGCTTTATACAATTATTAGTATATATAAAGAAAAGGATAATTTTTCATATAGACTTACAACAAATAGGTAACTCTCACAAAATATTGCTGTTAATAGATCTAAAAATATTTCTATATTATAATATAATCTAGAAACAGCTAATGTAAAAGTACTAAAACTTTCCAGTTACATATTATGAATAGTTTGTAAAATGAAGTTATAATTATTTGTAATAGCCAAGTTATGTACCTAAAGATAAATCTATATATTTTTATTAATATCATTCTTACAACACAATTTATTTCTATAAATCTTTACATTTGTAATAATTTACGTCGATATCTACAGACACGTAAACTTATCCTATGTAATAATATAAAAAAATGAAAGTAATAAATAGAAAACTTTATAGTTATTACTTCCATTACAAATTAGTTTTCTCCCAAAGATGACATAAATATAACAGGTGTAAGAACTAATTACTAATTTCAGCAATGTACAAGTTGTACACTAACTAATCTTATATATTTAAACGAGCTATTCTTGTATATATATATATATATATCTCAATATATAATCTGAATCTCGGAAACGGCTCCAACGATTTTCATGAAATTTAGCATACAAGGGGTTTCGGGGGCGATAAATCGATCTAGATTAGTCTTATATCTGGAAAAACGCGAGTTTTCGAATTTTCATGCGATTTTCTTTTGCATTTTCACAATTTTTGCATTGTCAGTTGTCAGTTGTCACTTCTGGTGGGTGGGAGGCGCCACTGCGCAACTGTCTACACTACATCGTGTCCGTATTTATATCAAGTTTAAAAATATTATAGTGGAAATAATCTAAAGAAAAGTGTTAAAAATAAATTATAAAACCTATGGGCAATATGTAAACATCACCAAGTCTTGATGTGTTAAAGAACAAATGAGCTTTTAAAAATTCACCTACCAAACAAATACAAAAGTGACAAACATAACATATAGATACTATCAGTGCAAAACCATCTTTTCCGTGTGTGATCAGTGATGACAATAAAACAAAATAAATTTGTGATGTGAAAGCGTAAAATATTAAAACATAAGTTTATAACCTCAAAAACTAATACTCGGTATAAAATTGCAATTCAACTAGGTATAGGTAATTGGTGCTCTTTTTCAATCAGCTTTTCTACTTCCGACTTCTCACTTAAGATGGAGGACAAAAAAATTGCTAATAAACATGCAACAAGAAATAAGACAGCAGAAAACAGAAATGTTAGAAATGAAAGAAGACATTAAAAATACAATCAACAATAATATACTTAAATGAGAGATTTAAACACTTAGAAATAAAAATTGAAGTTCTTGAGAAAAAAATCCAGGAACAAAGTACCTCAATAAATAATTTAGAAAGACATATTAGGCGCAAGAACTTGGTTATGTTCAGAGTAGAAGAAGGTGAAAAATCCTATCATGAACTAGAGGAAAAAATAGTCTTAAACAAACGCAAGGAGTTACAAACCCAACTGAAGATAAAGAAAAAGACCTAGGCAAAACAGCTTTCTTTAAATATGACAAACTAATTATTGTGGATAATAAGAACACTTCTCACCAATACTCAAATAAAAGAAGTCTGCCTGTATCTCCAGAAACGCCTTACCTCAATTATAAACAAAAACTAACAAATAAACAACATACAAAGAAAACCATACTTGGTAATATTAAAGACTTATATTACAAAAACCAAAATTAACTTTCAACCACACAAATGATAACCAGGAACAACTAAAAACAACACTGCAAGATACAGTTTATTAAACACAGTAGGAACCTCCTCATCTTTATCTCCCAGTATGGCCGGTCACCATAGAGGAGTTCGACCATAACCCTCCAAAGAAAAACAGACATACAATGAACAAAGGTATACATATCTTCACCAGAAAAACTTCTAGAATTAAAAGCAGTATTTCCTACAACAAATCAAAAGAACACAAAGATAAAATTATAAACTTGATAGGCATATCAGAAACAAATTATATATTGGAAACAAAATTTGAAAAGAAACCCTTTGCAATCATACAAGCATAATCTCCAACGGAGAGCTCTATGCAGGACTACTTTGGAGTTAACCGAGAGGGGTCTATACATGAAAAAGACATTTACTAAATAAATACATTTAAATATGAAATTAAATACCTAATTTATAACTATTGTCAGAATTAATGTATGGAAAGAAATTTTATTTATATTTATTATTGTGAAATGTTTAGTATTTACTCAATTGAATTATTTAATTTATTGTCATTGTTTATTTATTTGTTTGTTAATGATAATTTATATCGACGGTTAAAAGGTAATAGGTAATAAGCGACATTTTGATCGCAAATGAGTTATGAATGCCATCCTACTTAAAATTTTTAGCTCTTTCGAATGCGCTTACTCCCATGTCTCTACGATGGCTTTTTCGTCACTTATGCCCAGGCAAAAAACTGCGTTTTCGAAGTGTCATTTTGGTCTAACCGACCGAGTTTTAGGCCTTATTTACCCTAAAGGCACTTGTACCCCTGTAAAAATGGTATCAATTTTGGTTTATAGTCGGTAAGGTATTTTTACTTCTTACTGGCATAGAGATTCCGGGCGCTTAAGACTCTTTACAATTACCACCGGTTTTGAAAGTTGGAACTAATGCCTCTTTACCTTTTTCGTCAAAAACATTAAGCGTCGGTTAAGCCTTACTACCATTTTCAAGTTTAAAATACAGTTGTCGCTTATACGCAATTACTAAATCTTATTTGATATTAAACTGTCGGTTATACCTTACTACCATTTACAAGTTTACGATATAGTTGTCGCTTATACGTAATTACTAATATGAAATTTTATATTAAGGTGTCGGGTATATCCATTTACCATTTACTATTTTAATACTACGTTGTCGCGTACGCCGTATTACTTTACAATGATTATTTGTTAATTGGTGCTTACGCCAATATAAATGACTTTGTAGTACTCAAGTACCTATTAAGCGAGTCGCCTATTCCAAAATCAGACCTAAGGCGGAGGTACCTATCAAATAAGCCATGGGTATTCTAAACCTTAGCTATGTTATCAATAAGCGTAGTTACAATAAGCTTAATAACCTACATTATCATAGCTTACGAGTACCTACTACCTACGTTCTCCCCTAAATACTTTCGTCTGCAACCTTCCCAATCTCTGGAGCCTAGCTTGCTTATTTACATACTCGTAATATATCTACAAAAAATAGTATTCGAAGAAACTCGCCTTTATAGCCTACCTTCACGTATCTACATACTAACCAGATATATTCAAATTATTTTATTATATTATTAGATTATATACTTACTAACCTTTTTTAATGCTGGGAAATGCATTTACGAATACCTGTTGGCAATGTATCTGTGGCAGGTTGACATCTACTGTAAGTGTAGAATGTAAGTATAGACAATTGTCTTCCGGTTTCGTTTTTATGTGGGGTTAGTAAGATATGGCGTCTTTGTTGCTGTGTCTACTTGTACTGAAATAAAGAATACTGAATAATAAATAGAGGTTTTCATTGTGCATCATAAAATTCATTAGGTTATGGGCCCAGACTACAAAAAGTGTTAAAATTCAGTCAGATGACAAAGTTCGTAGGGCAGTGATGGCCTAAAGTAAGGCTTGGTTAAGACAAACGTGTAAGCACCCAGTTGGTCCACATTTTTATTCGAAAGCAAGGATATAAAAAAAAGGAAATAAAAGCAATGGCACATGCGGTGAACCAAATACCACAATTAGAAAGTTGAAATTTCACTAATTGGCTCTTTCGAATAGAGAGTGCCATGGATGAAAAGGGGTGTGTGGATGCAATACGTAAGAAAACGGATTTGAAAGATGCAGATTTAAAGAAATCGGACGCCAAGGCTCACAACATCATCGTACAAGCACTTTCAGACAAACATTTGGAATATGTAAAAGAATCTAGAACAGCATATGAAATGATTGAAAACTTGAGAAATGATTTGAACGAAAAACAACAATTTCGAATCTTTATTTAAGGAGGAGCCTAATTAATTTAAAATGTAAAAGGCATGATAGTGTTGAGGAACACTTTAACAAATTTGACAAAATAATTAGAGAGATAGAGTCGAACGGCACAAAAATGACAGAGAAAGATAAAGTATGCCCGTTATTAATTAGTATGCAAGGAGCATACCCATCCATAGTGACTGCTCTAGAACATGGAACTTAAAATAGATTTTGTAAAAAGTAAGTTTTTAGATGCCGAGCTAAAAGAAAAGCAAAGTTCATAAAGTAAAGTAAGTAAACAAGAATATGTATGTTACAGAGGATTTAAAACAAAAGAAAAAAATAATAGACCCCGAGCATATTTAGGAGAAGAAAACGATAGTGAAAAAGCTATATCATTCATTGCTTCTCAAGCTTATACAGCAGCTACATATCAAAATGAGATAGAATTTGTAATAGATTCGGGAGCATCGAACCATATGATTAGTATAGAATATGAGAAATATATGACTGATATACAAGAGATACAAGAAATTAAAGTTTTAGTTGCAAATGGAAATATGTTATCAGCTAAAAGGAAAGGTAATTTATCAGGAATATGTAGTCAAGGATTAAAAATTTCACTAAAAGATTGTCTTATTATGGAGAAACTGTCACACAATCTTATATCTGTTTTAAAGTTGAACGAGAAAGGCCTAAAAGTTATATTTCATAAAACAGATGTCAGTATTTGTCGAGGAAAAATAGAAATTAAAAGTGATATAGATGGAAAA